TAATAAATTAAAAAACATGCATAAATAATTAAAAAGATAAATTTTATTAAAATATATTTAGTATGTATTAATATATTTATATTTATGATAAATATATAAAAAGTGAAAGGAATATTAATGGCATAAATTAAAAAAAAGCATAATTAAGAAAAATATTTCTTTGAACACTAATAAAGTAAAAAAAATACACTTTTTAAATTTAACAAATAATTGATATTTCAATCACTATTATAAAAAAGCACTTTTAAATTTAATAAATAATTAATATATTTGATATATATATATATATATATATTAATTATTTAAAGAATCTAAAAAATACATTACCAAATAATAAATTAAAACAATAAAATTTTATTTATAATAGTGATCGGTGTAACTATTAGTATTATTTAAAAATGAAATTATTTTACAAATTGATTTTTGGAACATAGTATTATGCAATACATGCATAAATTTCCATTTTTTTTTTTGCAATGAAAAGAAGAAAACCATGTCATCATGTGATGTTTATAACAACTTTTAAAACATAGAAACAAAACCTTAACTGATTTGTACAATGTTACAACAAAATCCATTGAACTTTGTTAGCTAGCAAACAAAATCCATTTTTATTTTTTCAGCTCCGAAATTTCCTCCTAACCTTTGTCTAAACAAAAACCATAAACATGTTCCAACGTAAGACACACTTCCTACAATCTATCACCTTCGTCTGATTTTTCTTTCCATCATCATTCCAATCTGTCCATAATCAACAAATTATGCTTATCTTATTATCCATCACCCTTTTAAATTTTCTCATTAGTTTTTTTTAGATTTTTTTTTTATGTAACTCTCTTTTCTCAATTCATTTCACTTTTTCTCTTCAACCTTCCAATGATAATCTTGTAACCTTTCACCTCCCTTATTTTCCTTCCTCCCAAACTCCTGCCATCCCTTTTCTTCTGAGTTTTTCTCCCTTCCACCATGGGCAATTGTTGCTCAGGTGGCACTGATGATCCTGAAGAGAAGGGAGAAACAGATCAACAAAACAACAATGCAAATGGAGACTCTTCTTCTGCTACAACGCCGCCGTCTTCAAAACCATCTTGTCAGCCTTCTAAATCGTCCAAACCGGCCGCGATGGGACCGGTTCTCGGAAGACCAATGGAGGATGTCAAAAGTACTTATAGCATTGGGAAGGAATTAGGGAGAGGACAATTTGGTGTAACATATTTGTGCACACATAAAACCACTGGAAAACAATATGCTTGCAAAACAATAGCCAAGAGAAAGCTTGTTAACAAAGAAGATATCGAAGATGTTCGTAGGGAGGTTCAAATCATGCATCATCTAACTGGACAGCCTAACATTGTCGAGCTTCTCGGCGCTTTTGAAGATAAACAATCTGTTCATTTGGTTATGGAGCTGTGCGCGGGCGGTGAGCTTTTCGATCGAATCATCGCGAAAGGTCATTACACCGAACGCGCTGCGGCTTCCTTGTTGAGAACCATTGTTCAGATTGTTCATACTTGTCATTCCATGGGTGTTATACATAGAGATCTTAAGCCTGAGAATTTTCTTTTGTTGAGCAAGGACGAGACTTCGCCTCTCCAAGCTACCGATTTCGGTCTATCCGTCTTTTATAAGCAAGGTTTTCTATTAAAACTTAAACATGATTATGAATTAAAATTTTGAGATTTTAGTCAAGCAAATTATAATATTAAAACACGAAAAATTATTTTTTTTGACAGGAGAAGTGTTTAAAGATATTGTCGGGAGCGCGTATTACATTGCACCGGAGGTTTTGAAGAGAAAATACGGACCAGAAGTAGACATCTGGAGCGTTGGTGCCATGTTATACATTCTTCTATGTGGAGTTCCACCGTTTTGGGCAGGTTTATAATCACTTAACTTAATTTTAATCTATTTCTTGATCGAACAAAATAGCTTAACTCTTGAACTGATTTTGCGTCTGCATAATTTGACAGAAACTGAAAATGGCATATTCAATGCCATCCTAAGAGGCCATGTCGACTTCTCGAGCGATCCATGGCCTTCTGTATCGCCTGCAGCAAAAGATCTTGTAAGGAAAATGTTGAACTCGGATCCTAAGCAGAGGCTAACAGCATATGAAGTTTTGAGTAAGTATATATACCTGACTTCACCGCAACCAAATCAGTATAATTGAAATTCTAACAAAATTCTAACAAAGCGCGCTTGTTATGCGAAAAAACAGATCATCCGTGGATTAAGGAAGATGGAGAAGCACCCGATACACCTCTCGACAATGCTGTGCTCAATAGACTCAAACAGTTCAGAGCAATGAACCAATTCAAGAAAGTTGCTCTAAAGGTTATTGCTAGCTGCTTATCAGAGGAAGAAATCATGGGATTGAAGCAGATGTTTAAGGGTATGGACACCGACAACAGCGGAACCATTACAATTGAAGAGCTAAAACAAGGACTTGCAAAACAAGGAACTAGGTTGACAGAACAAGAAGTTAAGCAATTAATGGAAGCTGTAAGTTATCTCTCATGGAAAAATGACTTCTACTAAAAATCAGCTTCTTTACTTATCACAGTTACTTAAGATGTTGTTTTTTTTCTTTTGCGAATTACAGGCAGATGCTGATGGCAATGGAATTATAGATTATGACGAGTTCATCGCAGCAACCATGCACATGAACCGAATCAACAGAGAAGAACATGTTTATACTGCATTCCAATACTTCGATAAAGACAACAGCGGGTACATTACCATTGAAGAACTAGAGCAAGCTCTACATGAGTATAACATGCATGATGGCAGGGACATAAAGGAAATCATTTCGGAAGTTGATGCAGATAATGTAAGTCTTATATACTAACCGAGTTAAATCTTTTTTTTTGTCAATAGAAACAACTTTCTTGCACATCCTTCATCTTGTTATGACTTATGACAAAACTTGGATGTCTTTGCAGGATGGTCGGATTAACTATGATGAATTTGCTGCTATGATGAGCAAAGGAAACCCAGAAGCACATACCAAGAAGAGGCGTGATTCAACCTTGTTTTAGTAACGGACTATGGAAGATTCAGTGGAGATGATCTCTTTCGGCATTGTGTGTTTTTAAGAATTTCAGATGCTGGTGAGAGAAAAATTACAGAACGTTAAGCTTGGTAGTTGTTTGGTTGGATAGGGATGGGGTGAGAGGAATGGGTGGTGAAAACAAACATAATTGGAAGGGAAAAAGAACATCAATTAACCTATGAAAAATGTATAAACATGCTATGCATTATTTATTTGATTGGTTGGTTATGTTATTTTATTTCATATCCTTTTTTAACATTTCTTATAATGCAATTGAAGTTCACTTGGGAATGAAATCAAAAGGGTGTTTGTTTATTTATTTATTTATTATCTGCTATTAATCTCCTATATATTTGAATGTGAATACACTTCTGATCAAGCCAACAATAAATGAGGCTTTTAGTAACACTTCTTCAACCCCCTATTCATTCGACAATGGTCACTTTTCAATTCTTTAATGACAATTGGCAAAAACAATGTAGTCACTATTGAATCACTCGGTGCATACCAAAGATAATTCATGCATGAATCACAATATTCAAAATTGTTAGAATATAAGAAATATATCATAATATTTTAGATATTTTGTCAAATAACTTAGTTTATCTCCTATATATTCTGAAATAAACCATTTACAATTCATTACATGATAGAAATAGCTCACATTGTCAAATCCATGTGCAATTCAATACTTGATACAATTTGCTTGACTTGCTAAACTGAAATGAGTTGATACAATTCATTACTATAACATCATGTAAACTTTCCTCTATTCTTCAAATAATACTCTACTCTGCAGTGTATCGTATCAGCATTCAGCACTGGATTTTCAGCTGTGCCTGTAAAATGACAGCAGAAGTGAGACAGATTGAGAAAGAAGAAACCAGAACACTGTTCTAATATACTTTAAACAACAAAATTCTTAAAAAATCTTATCCCAACAAAGAAACCACAACGTTTAAATTTAAGGGATTGCACTAAAACGGTTCCACCACTGTAATAAACTAAGGTGCGGTGCAATAACTTTTACTACACTAAAATGTTACTTATCCAGAATGAAACCAAACATGATGAACCAAATCAATCACAAACATCTTCAAACAAAACAAAATCTATGAAACTACCTGATCATCATAGAAGATATAAACATCAAGTAAACTTAATAAACATCTCAAGCAGTAAGCATCACAGTTTTTCTCAAAATGGAATAATCACTTAGGTCCTATTTGAATAAACAACTTGGTGTATGTTTGGAAAAAGACAAAACCACAGTCACAAATCACGGTAGAAGAGAAGCTACAAAAAGTAGCTTCACAAAATCACGGTAAAAAAGGTCACATAAGCACGTCAGCGGCAGAAAAAAGCAGAAACAAACCCACACTTAGCATATGTTTGGTTCCGGTGAATAAAATTAATTTTGAGTGAATTGATTATGTTACATTGATTCTGGCTAAAAATGAGTTGAAGGTAAAGTAATTTATATCTGGATAAATTTTTGCAAAAGTGAATTGAAAATTGTTTAAACTCAAAAGCTATAAATACTAGCTTAAGTAGAACCAATTATGATAACGCATATAATTAATTCTACTCATCCAAAATCAATTATAAGTACTTCAAACGTGAAACCAAACATAAACTTAATCAATTTATAGAAATAAGTTGCTTTTATTTGCTCCATATTAGTAGATAACTAAAATAATTCAATCGAAACAGCCCTTAATCTCAAACCCACTGATCTTTTACTGGCCACTTCAACAGTACAGCCGAAAAGCAAGAATATCATACATCGCGATTTAACTTCATACACAAATAACACTATTCAACATCAAATCAAACAAAAATTGTTAATTCTACATAGTGAATTTCCATAAAACCCCAACACAATCAAAGAAACCCTAACAATTAGGCGAAAACAAAATGGATTAGGTTTCTTACTCATCATCATCAATTACTTGTCTTTCGTGGAAACACCATACTTCTCCTGCATACGCGCAATCTCATCCTCCTTCTTCTTCTGATCAAACTTCTTACTCATCTTCGCTTGCTGATAATAAAGAACAATCAGATACCGATTGGCGACGTTGAAACCCGAGAGATGATCGACGGCGGTTTTGGCGTCGTAGATGTCTTCGTAGACGACGAAAGCGGTGCCGCGAGTGTCTTTGTTGGTTCCGATTCGGATCTGGCGAATTGCGCCGTATTTGCCGAATATATCGTACATTTCTTCGCTTGTGATGTTGAACGGGAGGTTGCGGACGTAGAGGACGCGGTTTACTTCCGGTGGGAGACGGGTGTTTCCCTTCCGGAGACTGATTGTTGTCATGGTTGGCGTCGGTGAGGGATTTTGGTTGATGAGGAAGACAAAGTGAAGGAAAAGCTTCGAAATAACCTTCTTCGTTGAGTTTTTGTATATGGATTGTTAGATCGGGCTTTTAGTTGGGCTCGGATTTGGTCTATTAGATCAAAGTTTTTGTTCGGGCCCTTGAAATTTAAGATTTAATGGATATGCATCGATATCATTCAATAGTAAATTAACCGTCTATTATATTATTAAATTTTTTTAAAAATAAAATAATGATGTATTCGGATACATAGTTGTGATTGATTTAAAAGATAAAATTAATTTATATTATCAATGTATCATCCATTTTCTCTAAAATTTAATCCGTCATCTTTCAATTTTTCATAATATCAAAAATACCTATGTCAAAAATGCAAAAAATTAGTTATGATAATAAAGAATATGATATGTATTTTTTATCAATTAAAAAAAAAAACCAATGTGTGTCAAAATTTATTGGACATTTTCAAAAGCACAAGAGAATATCGAATTTTTCTCATAACCTTGAAAACTCTGATAATGTTGATTTATTTGTTTATCCAAAAAAAAATTATGAGATTATTGTTTTTTTAAAACCTTCAATAATTTCCCGATTTTCCCATAACTTTGAAAAATCTGATAGTGTTAATGTGTCTAAGCCATCTACATTCATCATTATTTTTAGTCTTTTAAACACTTCAACCTGCACACCTTTCATCATGATGTCTGTAATCTGATTCTCAGTTCTGCAGTGTTCCAAGTTCAGCTTCTCTTTTTCTACTTGCTCTCAAAGATAATAGAACCTCATCTCAATGTGTTTGCTTATACCATGTGCTTACTGATTCTTCGCCAGATTAATAGTTGACATGATGTCAATCTTCATGGTAATTTCTCCATGATTCTTCCTTATAATTTCTTAGACCAAATTCACCATCCATGTTGCTTGACATGCACAAAAAGAAACAATCATATACTTTACTTCACACAAAGATAATGTTACTACTGATTCTTTTCTCGAGTTTCAAGCAACTGATGCACGACCCAACATAAACACATAACCAGTTGTGGGTTTTCTATTCTCAGCATCACTACACCAACTTGAGTTTGTGTAACCCACCAGATTGCATTCTTTTTGTTCATCAGTTATAGGAAATAAAATGCCATAGTCGAGATTTCCTTTGAGATACTTTAGTATCCTCTTTGTCGTTGTTGTATATGATACCTTTAGCTTATGCGTGGATATACTTATCATACCTACATTGTATGCTAGATCAGGCCTTATGTGACAAATGTATCTTAGTGACCCAATAAGTCTTGTGAATTATATTGGGTCGACATCATCTTCATCTAAATCTTTTGACAGTTGTAGTTTTGGTTCAACAGGTGTCGAAGTTGTATTGCAATCTTTTATCTTAAATCTTTTGAGTATTTCACTTGCGTATCTTCTTTCATGCATCATCATGCCTCTACTACTCTTATATAATTCGATGTCAAAGAAGTATGAAATGTTTCCCATATCATACATTTTGAATTCCTTGCTAAGATCACCTTTAAAGTCTTCGATCTCTTTCTTGTTACTACCTATCATCAACAAGTAATTGACATATAGACATAGTATATGCAATTCACTCTTACTTCTTGTTACATATACTCCATGCTCAGTTGTGAACTTCACAAATTCCCCCTCCCTTAGGACAATGTGTATCTTCTTATTCCAAGCTCTTGGAGCTTGTTTAAGTCCATATAGGGCTTTATGCATCCTATATACCTCGCTTTCTTGGCCTTATTTCACAAACCCAACTAGTTGTGTAACATAAACTTCTTCAACTAAGGGATCGTTTAATAATGCATATTTCACATCTATCTGACATATATACTAGTTATTCATGTTTGTTAGACCAATAACCAACATGATTGTTTTTATCCTAGCAACAAGTGAAAAAACTTCATCGAAGTCGATTCCTTCTTTTTGGAGAAATATTTTTTCCATAAGTCTTGTCTTGTGTCAAGTTAATTCTCCTTTGGGATTCAACTTCACCTTGTATACCCACTTCACATCGATTACCTTCTTGCCTTGAGGCAATTTGACAAGTTACCAAGTGTTGTTGACTCTGATGAACTTCAGTTCCTCATTCATCGCTTTCATTCACTTTGAATCCTCCATTGCCTTAGTTGCATAGAAAACATAGTATACCAGCTTACCTTCACCATTGAGTGCATCATCTGATGTAATCACATATTCCTGCAACCTTGCAGGCATGTGTCTTGTTCTTTGAGGTTTGCTTGTGCTTGTTTGACCTATGACTTCTTCTTGTTGAACTTCTCTTTCGACTTCACTTGTTGGTTCTTCATATGAGATTCTTACTGAATCCTTCTTTAAATTTTCAGTCCAATCTCATTGTTTAAGCTTATATATGATCACGCTCATACTGCTTACTACTTGCTTGCTCACTAGGTCAAACAACTTGTATCCTTCAATCGAATGGTTTCCTATTAGGATCATTTGACTTGACTTGTCATAAAGTTTTCTTCTCAACTGACCAGACACGTGTCTAAATGATATAGATACAAATACTTGCAGGTGACTTAAGTTAGGCTTGACACCAGACTAACATTCTTTTGACGTGATTCCTTCTAGCTTCTTTGTTGAACATATGTTTAAAATTTATGTTGTAGTCGATCTAAACAACCCTTAATCTCAAATCCACTGATCTTTTAATGGCCACTTCAACAGTACAGCCGAAAAGCAACAATATCATACATCGTGATTTAACTTCATACACAAATAACATTATTCAACATCAAATCAAACAAAAATTGTTAATTCTACATAGTGAATTTACATAAAACCCCAACACAATCAAAGAAACCCTAATAATTAGGCAAAAACAAAATGGATTAGGGTTCTTACTCATCATCATCAACTATTTGTCTTTCGTGGAAACACCATACTTCTCCTGCATATGCGCAATCTCATCCTCCTTCTTCTTCTGATCAAACTTCTTACTCACCTTCTCTTGCTGATAATAAAGAACAATTAGATACCTATTGGCGACTTTGAAACCTAAGAGATGATCGACAGTGGTTTTGGCGTCGTAGATGTCTTCATTGACGACGAAAGCGGTGTCGCGAGTGTCTTTGTTGGTTTCGATTCGAATCTGACGAATTGCGCCGTATTTGTCGAATATATCGTACATTTCTTTGTTTGTGATGTTGAATGAGAGGTTGATGACAGAGAGGATGCGGTTTACTTCCGGTGGGAGACGGGTGTTTCTCTTCCGGAGACTGATTGTTGTCATGTTTGGCGCCGGTGAGGGTTTTTGTTGGATTAGGAAGAGAAAGTAAAGGAAAAGCTTTGAAATAACCTTCGTCGTTGAGTTTTTGTATATGGATTGTTAGATCGGGCTTTTAGTTGGGCTCGAATTTGGTCTATTAGATCAAAGTTTTTGTTCGGGCCCTTGAAATTTAAGATTTAATGGATATGCATTGATATCATTCAATAATAAATTAACCGTCTATTATATTATTAATCTTTTTTTAAAATAAAATAATGATGTATTCTGATACATAGTTGTGTTTGATTTAAAAGATAAAATTAATTTATATTATCAATGTATCACCCATTTTCTCTAAAATTTAAGCCGTCATCTTTTAATTTTTCATAATATAAAAAATATATGTCAAAAATGCAAAAAATTAGTTATGATAATAAAGAATATGATATGCATTTTTATCAATTTAAAAAAAAAACCAATGTGTGTCAAAATTTATTGGACATTTTCAAAAGCACAAGAGAATATCGAATTTTTCTCATAACCTTGAAAACTCTGATAATGTTGATTTATCTGTTTATCCAAAAAAAAATTATGAGATTATTGTTTTTTTAAAACCTTCAATAATTGCCCGATTTTCCCATAACTTTGAAAAATCGGATAGTGTTAATTTTCAACGATTGGGATCTTATCGACACTTTTGTAGGATTATGATTTTATCAAAAATGTTGTGTAGTCCATATTGATTCCAAATTTATATAAATATGCATGATATGTTGTTAAAAACATCTCAAAATGTCTCAGTATTGGCGTCTTGCATTTGAGCACTTCAACAGCATGAAATCTCCGGGTGATTTTGTAACGCCCGTTAATTTAATTAATTATTTAATTAAATTATTTTGGATTACTTATTGAAGTTGTGAGATGTGTGGATTGTTGGTATAAGTTGTTAGATTATTATTAATTAATTAATTAGTTGATTAATAATAATAATAATGTTGGAATTAATGGAATAATATAAGATTATGTTGTTGGGCCTATTTTATATGGTGGTATGTAGTACTAAGGGGGGTGTGAGAATTAAGCCCAAGATAAATAATTCTATTATTATTGAGTTTGGTTATAATAATAGAAATTAGATATGACAGTAAGGAGAATAGATTTTGTCAAGAGGAAGAAGAATAAGGGTTGGAAGAGAGAAAGAGAACGTGAAAGTTGCAGAAAAGAAGGAAAAGAGGCAAAACGAAATTCGATCAGAAGATTATAGAGTGATATCTAATCCAAGGTAAGGGTGGGGTTCTGACTCTATAATGGGGTTTATGATGATTAGTATGTGAGATTAGATGTGAAAAGTTGTCTTGTTTATGATTGAAATGTGTATATTGTTGTATGATGAAGATCAATGATTTAGAGATGAGTAATGATGTCCTAATGATGTATAATCAATGTAGAAATATAGGATTATTATAATTGATGATTACCTATGATTAGAGGATGTTTTTAGGGCCTAAGGCAGTGAAACCGCAGTGAAAACACAGTGAAATCGCAGAAAATATCCATGACAGAACAATGTGAGTCGACCTCAAAGGCCATGCGTCGACACATGCATGCTTTTGGACTCAGGATGAGTCGATACATAGGACTTTGCATCGATACATGCAGTGTTGCAGACTCAGTATGATTCGATACAAGAGGATTTCGCATTGACTCATGCAGGATTTTAACCCAGTA